GTTGGAATTTGAAGATGAAAATGATATTTTTGCCAATTTCTCAACTGGCAATAGTGAATTATAGGATTAATAGGATTATTCTTTAACAAGGTAGGACTGTTTATAGATACCATCTATTTTAAGGCTTTATTTTAATAAATATGAAATTGCAGCTTTAATTAATGGATGTTGAAAAATATGACATTTTAGCATTAACCCTTTTAAACTTTATGCATGTATGTAAATATATTTAGGCTTTTTCAGGTGCTACTGAACCAAGATATTAGGCATTCAATTTCAGGCTAATCTTAATGGTCATTACTAACGTTGGTATGATAACAAACAAAGTCTTGATTGTTCATTTTTTTGTTAAATTATCCATCACAAAATGTATTCAAATCCAGTAAAAATCACAGGCTACCGATGGCATCGAGAGTTGAATAAGGTCTGAACAAGTTAATTAATGTCCAATTAATAATTTAGATAACATTTCAGGCCCAAAGAAAGACCTGCTTTAGACAGTTTAAGCACTTAGCATTATGCCTATTTAATATCCGCGATATCCGATGGCATTGAGATTTGATTGTCGTCTTGTCATGTTAATAAATGTCTAATTAATAGTTTATATAACATTTCAGGTCTAAAGAAAGACCTGCAATAGGCAGATTTAGCTCTTGCATAATGTATGTTTAATTCCAATACACATTTTTGTTCTCCGATAGTATGGAGTAGATACCCTGTAAATATGTCAAAACATGATATCCCTCAAACAATACAACTATACTGACCAGATCACAGACTACTGGTAATCAAATGACACATTTTCGAAAAGAGTATGTAGGCTATGGCAAGTCACAATAATATCAATCCTGATTTATATTGACCTCCTTCCTTCAGATTGCCTTAATTCCTAGGCTTACTACCTTAGTGAACCAATAGTTAACCAATTTTTCTTATCACTGCACGCCTGTCCAACCTCGTGGGTTTTCTCCGGGTCCTCCGGTTTTCCCCCACTGCTAAAGACCCCTACGCGCAAGCGAATTATTGAAATAAAATTAAACCATGTTAGTCCCGAAATGACCTAGTTTGTGTCGAGTGGATGTTAAACTCCATTTCTCTCTCTCTCTCTTATCACTGCATGGCGGATACCCATTTATAGTAGCCCAGTTGATAATGAAACCACCTCTAAATTATTTGTGGAGCTTAAAGATACATTATGGGAGATTCGATAACGAGTTGGCAGTTCTCACTATAATAGTTAAAAACTAGATAATGTAAAGGCAATTTGCAGAAAATTTTATTCAAATTGATCCACTATGAACCGAGAACAAAGCGATTGAATTTCCGCATAGCCTTGATCATCATTACTGTAAAGTCAGTACGATAAACAGCATAGTTTCGATTATCCATTTAATCGTTAAATTGTGAAGGAAAGTTATGCAGTAAATCGGCTCACAATCGCAGGCTAGCGATGCCATCTAGAGTTGATTATGGTCTGGATAGGTTAATTTTTGTCTAATTAATAATTTAGATAACATTTCAGGCCTAAAGAAAGACCTGCAATAGACAGATTTAGCTCTTGCATAATGTATGTTAAAATAAATAAACCATTTGTTGACTTTTTCATTTAACTTTGTAAAAATATTAGATATAAGACAAGGTGCCAGTGCAGCGGCCATTGTTTTGTACACAGTCAGATATATATTTAGTCATCGATTCAGTCCGTTTATATTACTTTAAAAAAATTAACATCCATCTATATAGGCCTATTGATTATTCTCTGGGAGTGCTGTTCTATATATTATTTCTTACACTATTACAGTTAATTTATGCATGCATGATAAACCTTATTTCTATTCTGTTGGTAGAGTCATCTTATTTAATTATAGTCAAACTGAATAATATAAATTTTATAGCTATGTGAACTAGCAAACTAAATGACAAGTGGTAAGTAAGTAAGTGTCAAATGAGTTACGAGTTATGACATTGTAATAAACTAAACATTCATTTCATAAAAAGCCATACCTAAATATTTTAGTGACATTAGCTCACTACAGGTCTTCGCTGGTTGTTTAAAATATGATTTACCGGTACATTTGTTTTTCAGTTACACTGGGTATATTGAAATTAGATTGCATACAAATTTTACAACCAATGTCAAGCAGTTTAATTAACTCTTAACGATACATTGTCCCGAAAGTATTTATCAGGTGGTTATCTATAGGGCCTACTAATATTTGTGACTGTCGTTTGTCTGTCTGTCTGTTTGTTCGGGGTTTGCGGCTACACTAGGTCTGCCCCGAGTCTGAAATTTGGGGTATAGGGGTAGCTCGGACTGGGGAGTAACATAGGCCAGGTGGCGTTAGTCTACCACTTCCGGTTTCGGGGTTATGACCCCCGGGCTGTTCGGGGTTGGCGGCTACACTAGATCTGCCAGCTTATTGTGTGATAGCTTGACAGAGGGAGCAGTTGTTATTTCTTGATCAAATGGTGAGGCGGTTTTGGGAACATAGAGGGGTGTCAACTACTGTCAACGTTCAAAAGACTGTAATTAAACGGCAAAAACAGATGTTGACAGAAAATAATTAAGAATTTACTTAGACCTCAATATGTATGGTAAATTGACAATAAGTAATGAAAAATAAATTCTGAAAAATGGACCCTCCCCCAACAAAGTTGGATGACAAACATGGCATCTAACAACAGTTTATTTATAGCTTGCAGTATCTCCCAGCGAATACAAAGGTTTGAGAGGGATTTGAAGCAAATTTTTGAGAGATTAAATAGTTTGAATATGTTTTTGTCCAAATATATCATCAAATCACGCAGTTTATATGTGGGAAAGTATCTTTAAGTTTTAAGTTATTTGAATATGCAATTATTCAAATTTAATTACCATCAACATATTTTACTGGGGGAGAGTGAACATTGTCAAGTGCTGTGATAAACTGTTTAATTTGAAACCTCCAAACTATAACTCTATTTAGTGATGAAAAGAAAATTTGTCAGGGCAGCAGTTATTCTTTTAACAGCCCAAAAATATGGTTATTCATTAACTCGCCATTTTCAGTTTAATAAAAACAGTATAAAGCTAGATTGTCTGAAAATGAAACACACACACATTTGGGTCAATAATAAGTGAAATATTTATAATGCATAATATTACTGCTATAAGATTCTAAAAGATAATAACGGTCATTAACTCTTTCAGTTATTATTCAAATTTGTTATATAATTTGGTCAACTTATTCATAGCAGATATTGAAACAAAAGAACGAATTTAGATGATGGCTTGGTTGTTAAGTGTTGGCAACATTCTACATAGTGAGCAAGGACCATAAATCCTTTCACTAATTTGTACAATGCATATAAATAACTCTATAGCAGTAATTATCTGCCAAACCACATTCTACACATCCAATGTTTAATACTCGACTGATCTTCGACCATAGGATAAAATTCTAAAAGTTTCTACACAGATAAAAGTCAAAAAATCAATTGACTAAAACACATTTCAGTTGACTTTGCCAATACAATTGTGTTCTTTTTAAATTAGGGGTAAGGTAGTTATAGGGTCAGGGAACTGGATTTTCAACTAGAATGTTTTGGGTTCGAATTCCAACTCGTGTCGAGAACCTTCCAGATTTTTCAAGCCAGGCCTTCACCCATCAAGGCGGCACCTATTTTATTGGGCTGACAAGGACTGTTTGCCTAGTCACTTGTATGGTCCGAAAAAACAATGCACATACATTGACAGTTGTAAATAGAAGACTAGACAGAAACAATGCTGTTGAGGCACACACAACCATAGAGGTATAAATTACCATATGTATGTTCAAAATTGACCAAAGTATTGTGTTGACAAGATATAACATCCTATTCCATTCTTTTTATACGCCTACATTGAAATGTGGTCGTATATTGTTGTCACCCCTGTCCGTCAGTCGGTCCGACATCCACAAGCAGTTGTGGACGCTTTACAGGCCAAAGTTAATATCCAATTGACTTTAAATTTATACACAGTGTTTAAGGTCATGAGACATGGTAGCCTATTGAATTGCAGTGATATCCGATAATTACTGCCAGAGTTATGGCCCTTGATCACTTTCAAAAATCTTGTGGACCCTTTAGAGGCTAAAGTTAATATTCGATTGACTTTACATTTATATACAGTGTTTAAGGTCATGAGACGAAGAAGCCTATTGATTTTCAGCGATTTCCGATAGTAACTGCCAGAGTTATGGCCATAGATCACTTTGAAAAATCTTGTGGACGCTCTAGAGGCTAAAGTTAATATTCGATTGACTTTAAAATTTATATACAGTGTCAAAAGACGAAGAAGCCTGTTGATTTTACACTATTGCCGATAATTACTGCCAGAGTTATGACCCTTGACCTCTTTGAAAAATTGTGTAGTATCTCTCGAGTCTAAAGTTAACAACTGATTGACTTTAAATTTATTCACAGTGTTTAAGTTAACAACTGATTGACTTTAAATTTATTCACAGTGTTTAAGGTCATGAGATGAAGAAACCTGTCAACTTTCAACGATTTCCAATGATTATGGAAATTGATATTAAATGCTTTGTATGCTAAATGTTAGAATAGGGCAGAACTAGAAGCCAAATGGATTGTTACTTGTAATCAGATTTTAGTGTGTTGTAAATGTTTTCATTTCTGACAAAAAAATATGTGACAACCCATGTTGACACCCCAGATGACTTAGCTGCTGTGGGCATATGTTTCATTGCCTGGCAACCTATCTTTACATATCACGATACCGTATTCACAATGGAAGAACGCTTCATCTGATTGTTTACATAAGAGCAGCTGATTCTCTGGCGATCACAGACCAATCATCTGCAGCTGATTCTGTGGCGATCACAGATCAATCATCTGCAGAACATGGGACACAATGTAGAATCTGGTCAAGTCAAACTGTACACAAACACATAATTCTACCTTAATACTTGAAGTTAGTGATCTCAACCCACCTGCATGATGTTCTAGTAAGATTTATTATACAAACCAAAATTTTTGTTACAAATTTCAAACAATGTTAAATAAATATAAAATAATACAAAATTCGTAAAATATAGGTATTGAGCAAAACAATTATGAGTAAAAACAACATTTGTAAGACTATTGTAGAATCTTTGCTCTTTAAATTAATAGCACTGTATTAATATTATATCTTTGGCTAATAGTCTCACACACTTAAATCAAAATGAGTGACAATTGATACAGAAAAAGAATTATAAAGCCAAAACATAGCTGATCATAGGTGAAACCAGAAAATTCCTATTGCATCATAAGCCAAGTTTAGTCTAGTCATATCAGTAATTGCACAGAATAGACTGATCTCAGCGTGATAGCCTTCAAGGCCACTATCAATATGGGTCCTACAAAAAGAGACTCTGCCAGGCCTTTAAGATCAGATACCAAGCGGGTTCCGTAAAGATTACCATCTGAGTTTCTAGAGACTGCCGCTTAATTCGGGAGACACCGCCATGGTTCAGGAGACACCAGCGGGATGGAGTAGACCCCATTGATTTGTAGGAAAGCCATGCCCATATGATGTCGGCATCTGTCAGTAAACTCAATCTGCAAGTTAGGGGGTTGAGAGAAAGACATGTTAGTTTTAAGTATTGTAGTGTAATCTATCATGCATTGTAACCATATGTATCCTAGCTTGACATAAAAATGTAGAAATGAACTGTTGCATTGTTTTTCTTGGTAAGATAAAGTCTTAACCACTGAGATAGTAAGAAGAATATACACATATACAAGTCCTAGCCAAAAGAAGAGAATTACAAATATAACCAGAGACAATACTAGACGATCTCAAGGCTATTAAAATATGTAGCAGAAGAAAGTATGCGTCACACGTTGGATGTGAGGAGTTTTTGGCTTACTGACTTTCCACCCCAGCGACTCATAGTGCTGCATAGTACTACACATTGCATAATAAATTAATTCATACAAAAACTAATAAGTTATAATCTTTAACAGGCATTTAGTAACTCAATAGAGCAATAAACTATAACACATACTTATGGAAAAACAGCTACTTATTTATTTGGGCGACATTTCGAAGAGTATTCACTCAACGTATTAGGTTGGTAACATAGATAATACTCTTCGAAATGTCGCGCAAATAAATAAGTAGCTATTTTTTCCAGAAGTATGTGTCATAGTTTATTAACTAATAGGTTTATTATTTTAAGATACTTAGTACTTACTAATAAAACAGAAAAATAATAATTAAATTGTATAAAATTATTGATTAAATAAAACCAAATTGTGAAAATACAAATAATATCATGTATATATCTTCATGATATCAAGTGTTTTTGATATGTATTTTGTGAGGATTTTAATTTTTATAGCAATATAAACTATAATGTCATGATTAACTTGTATGTTTTGTAAAATCGACTGCAAGCATTCTCGAAAGAGTTATTTAAAAAAACCTGAATGGTTAGCACATGCTCGCTGTATCATAAGGTCCATCACTGAGTTGAGTGGCGTTGATTCGATTCCCCGGTTGTACGTGACAAGGAGTAGGGTTGCCTGTCCAACCTCGAGTGGATGTTAAACCCCATTTTTCTCTCTCCCTATCTGTTTAAAAAAATTGACCCAACCACATGAACAAACATTGTATTGATATGTCTGGTATGGGTAATAAGTATGTGGGTAATCCTAGTATTCCATTGCTGCTGTATGCTCAGACATAAACAGAAATTGCTGGTGGTGATCAGTAGAATGAATAAGAACATATAAACTTTTGGGTGATGTGATCGTATGTGCCACAAATAAGCACTAAAAAATTTTTTCCTTTGATTTCAAAGAAAAAGTCGAGAGAGAGAAATGGGGTTTAACGTCCACTCGACACAAACTAGGTAATTTTGGGACTGACTAACACATGCTTCAACTTTATTTAAATAATTCGCTTGCGCGTAGGGGTCTTTAGCAGTGAGAGGAAACCGGAGGCCCAGGAGAGAACTCTTTGTCACATACAACCGGGGAATCAAAACCACTGAGATCTTTGGGATATAAACATATTTTTATTTTCGTCAAAATTGGATAAAAATTTGACCTCTAGAGGTAGTTCCACAACCGTGGTATTACATACTTTTACACTATTTGCATTCAAGCAGTGGCCATTTTGACGGGCAGTTTTGGTTCGATTTTTTACGAAATTCGAACTCAACAATCATCAGGGTGTAACAGTGATATATTTAACAATTTTTAAAATCGGTTTAATATTGTGACCACTAGAGGGCCCACAAGCTAAAATCGCGATTTTTTCGTACAATCAGGGGACGTAATCCAAGAAGTTACAATCCGATATTTGCGAATATCAAAAGGAACCAAGATCGTTAGGATATAAACACACATTTTAAGTTTCATGAAAATTTGATCAGAATTGTGATCTCTAGAGGGTGCACAACCTTGATATTACATACTTGAACACTATTTGCATACAGGGAGCGACCATTTTGTTCAGCAGTTTTGGTCCGATTTTCACGAAATTTGAAATCAACCCTCCTCGGATAAAAATTATGACCTCGGGAACCACAAGCTAGAAACACAAATTTTTGTACAGTCAGGGGCCACAATCCAGGAAGTTACAGTCTGATATGCACGAATATTGAAAGGATCCGAGATCGTTGAGTTATAAACATACATTTCAAGTTTCATCAAAATCTGAGTGTTCACAAGCTAAAAACTTGACTTTTCGTACAATCAGGAGCCATAAGTTACGCTTAGATTACCTGTCGATTTTGAAAGGAACCAAGATCTTTGGGATATAAAACTATTTTTCAAGTTTCGTCAAAATCGGATAAAAATTGTGACCTGCAGCGTGCCCACAAACAAATTGTGGACGGACAGACAGACATCCGGACGGACAGGGGCGACGATAGTACACGTCCACATAAAAATGTGGGCATTTAAAAAGTGTTAGCTACTTATTTTTCAATTGTAATAACGTTGTGGTTTTTGGTTTGCCAAAGAATTTTAAAGCTCCCTTTATCATCAGACCTAACCAATACAATTGGGGTAACAGAACAGCTAGACATCCCAGATTGCACTTAATTGGTATGTTGGTAAAGACCTTCCAAAATGATATCTTGGCGTAAACGGAGTGTGACCAGTACAGAAATGGGAATACAAGTATTCGACTTATAAAAAATACAGCTATCATTGATAAACCAACAACTTTATAGGATGGATATTCTGTTAACTTTAACTGAAAAGTAAAATAATATACATGTAGTCTGAATAAATGACATTAGTTCTATCTGAATATCTACAATGAAAAAGAAAATCTTTATCTTGCTGGAAATTAACTCTCCAACCAAGAGAACCGAAAATGGAAATATTAACAAATAACTGTAAACAGTAATCCAAGTTTAAAAACTTCTTTAATTTCATTTGTAAATGAGAGAGAGAGAGAGATAGGGGTTCTATTTTATTTCAATAATTCACTCACAGTGTTCTCCAACTAAAACAAATCGGGGCTAAACCGGAGTGCCTAATCTGGATATAAATAATTTTACATCATAAGATGTTTTTTATAAGGTAACACAAAGGAAATTCCTGTAAACACCAGGGGGCTATCAAATATCCACATTAAATGGATGTTTCCAGAAATTGTCACCAATTAACACCAGATAGTGCTTATCAGGCTGTATTTTGATAAACCCTGGTTTGTGTGTAGGACTGATCATAAGAATGTATACTTTCAAAAAAAGTAGGGGATATTCAGAAACAATACAAAACTGCGGAAATGCACTGCTGTTTTTATTAGAGGTAACAAGTGTATGTTAATAACAGGTCAATTGCCTACACATGAATATAAACAGTTCATATGGGCGGCTTATCTGACGGGCTCCATTTCACTCGCAAAGAGATATACCGTCAAAAGTGAAAATGGACGTTTTTGATTTTTGTCTTAATGAGTAATTGCTGCACCAATCCTCAGACATTCAGCAATTCGTCGTGGCATGCTCCTAATCAACTGTCCAATCACGATTTGGGGCAATCTGACTTACTCCTCTTGCAAGAACCGATAGGATAGATAAACCAGCCCGTGGCAGTTTTCATCAACCCTTCCTTTAAGTGTCAAATTTGACAATGAACCCCTCCCACGTGTATGACACTATTGCGTGTCGCATGTGCAGCTCAGTGGTTCTGTTGGGGCGATAAGTTCTTCATCTGTGAACATACTCTCAAAGCATGTCAAGTGTCCATGACTATTTATCATATCGCAACCTGCATAGGTATTTGCATTTCAATATCCCCTACTTTAATTTGAAGAGTATATTAACACAGTGGATTGTCATCAAGCTTGGCGGTAGTAGATTAAATTTGGAATTTGGTGTTAAACAAATACAGCATGGCCAGCTATCAGGCTGGTTTATATGGTTGGAGAACACTCTGACTGCACAAAGGAGTTTATAACTGTTGGAAGAAACTGTGGGACCCACAAGATTAGGCAGTACAAGTGTGGGATTGAAACCATGCCATTTGACTCAATTGCAGACCTTATGATCTAAAGCACACACAATAGACCATGCAGCACACCCTCTCTCTCTCTTAACTGAAATAAATGGAGATTCAATTAAATGAGTCTCCATTCACCTGTATTTTACCTAAGTCAAGGGGAGGAAACTATGATATGGCCTGAGCCGAGGGGAGGAAACTATGATATGGCCTGAGCCAAGGGGAGGAAAGTCTAATTAAATGTATGCCTCATATATGTTTTTCATTACATCAGGATCAGGTATCAGGCAACAAAACAAACGTTTCCCTCAAAACTATGTTCCTTAACATTCTTAGACTGAGAAAGGTTAAACGCCAATTTTACAGCTGGTGCTACATTTAAAATGTATGATTACCTGTATCATGACTTGTCTAGCACTGATAAATGGAATAGTAATCTCTATCAAATAGAAAACACCAATATAAAAATCACCTAAACCTTGTCGAAAATACTGAAATAGATAGAAATATGATTATAAATATATATCGATTGGTTACAGTCACCATTTGGAATATTTAATATCATAGTAAAAATATAATCAAATGATGACACCATTCAGTAAAATTTATTTAGTTTAGTTTTTACAAGATAAGCTGAATTTAAAATTATTGGTTGCTGGAAAAAAAAACATATGCCCGCTCAAGCAGCCATATTGAAATTGTTATATAGTTAAGATAAAACTTTATGTACTGTATAATATTACTGGCATGTTGACAAGATTCTATAACATGATAAAGGACAATAAATTCTACTTATGAGCCATGGGGTCTTAGAAATGGGAGGAAACTGTTGAATCTGGAAAAAACCCTAAGAGGCTGGGTTTGTGACCCAATGTCTTGTCACATACATGCTTGTACTAGGTACATGTGCAGGGGGGGGGACTAAATGAACAGAAATATTGTCTTAGAGCCTCTGATTTTATTAAATTCTCAGGAAATCCCCACGGATATCACTCCAAACTTGTTGTTGTCTTCGTCTTGCACCGCCAGGGCTGCTCAAATTCCTGAACAAGCCCCTGGCTTGGGTTCTGAACGATGGTACTTGACTCAATGACAGATTTCTTCACATAACCCATGTTATAGCTGTTTGGAGCCATGTTGACTCCCGCCTGTGTTATGTATCATATCTTTTGTTTGACCTTCATATGTGTTATGTATCATATTATAATAAAGAATATTAGGCCTATTGTTTTATTATACAATTTACTATTCCATTTTTGATAGGATTTATTTTTAAGTATTTTGTGAGTTAGATAGAAATTGTTGTTTGACCTATATAATTACCTCCCTTTCTTTTACCAAAATTTTCCTGGAATTGATATGGAACGTATCTTGTTTGCGCCAGTATCGATAATTCCTTTGTTCTGTAAACACTTGTTTTATGCCATTTTCATTATACCCACTATTTTAGGTTCTGTACATATTATGTTATAATTCTCTTATTTTATATATACTAGAAGAGTTTGTATATATTTGGAACCTTGTTGGGTAATAGCTAAAGATCAATTAATCTGTTCTTTTCTGTTCGTTTAACTCATCATATGTTGAGTCGTAACAATATATACTGAGACTGGCCTCATTCATATCAAATCCCATGTTCCTGAAGCAACGACCGCGAGTTTTACAACATGTAACTGTTGCTAGAGTAGTGAGAAATTCCCGAACTTATAGCTACGTTATCTACCTTTACCAAAGACAAGTGAACAGAGCTTGTGACACAAACACACACAAACCAAACTTAGCAACCTCCATGGAAAACCTTGACATTGAACGAACCTTGAACTGGGTTTGTACCCAGTCGCAATTAGTGCTGAAATATGAGGGGTATTACGTGAAGGGCTTGATATGCACGGAGTTAAAGTGAGATAAAGCCTTCTGTTGAAGATGATCAAATACCTGTATGGTGTATATTAACTACGAATGTATTGTCATAGTTAGAAAGCATATTGTATCTCCTTTCAATCCTTGAAATATCAACTTACCAATATCACCGGGGAAAATATAAGTGGAAAAAATAAATGGTGTAACAATAAGAGTTTAGTGTGCTTCATATAATGAAGCATTTTCTGTGAATTTGGCCATGTCTGTATTTCTCTATGGTGATGATAATGACTATTGTACATCGCCCAAGTATCATAAACAAAATAGGGTAGACCGAAACAAGTATAGCCGTTCGTTAACCAATGTCTGAAAAAAGCAAAAAGATATTTATTTATCTACCTGACACACAACAATGTCAGCCTCTAGATCTGGCATTTCTATTTTCATTTTCTTGTTTTGCAGGCCTAAACAGTAAATCATTAGAGAGAGATAGAGAAATGGGGTATAACGTCCACTCAACACAAACTACGTCATTTCAGAACTGAACTAATCAAAGCCACGCCACTTGACTCAATGACAGACCTTATGAACTAAAGCACACACATCAAACCGTCAGATCTACTGATATACCTGTCCTTGACAAAAAGAAATATATCTGACCCTACATACCGTCAATGGTTGATCTAGGAATATGGGAATTGCACAGGTCATGATAGCAAAATCATGTCAATATATATTACAATCTGTATAAGCATATCGGAAATTGAACAAAAATTGTGTTCTTTTATATTTTATATTGGATGACGTTAATATGTTAAACTCCATTTCATTTTACATGTAATATTAATGAATTGTAGGATCATTAGGTGATAGGTCATCCACTGTTCCAGGACAGAGAAAAAAAATATATGCACTTAACACTAATGATTCTTCACTTGCTGTGATTTTTTTGATAGACTTTTCTTTGTGTTGTGTGAACTACATGTTACATGAAGAATTAAGTTTTATACTATTACTGTTTACCTCCAATAGTTACAGGGCACGCCACCACTGGGGGTAAACATAATATATACAAAAAAAAATACCAAGAGAAAGTGGCCAAATTCCTTAATCAATGATTATGACCATTAATAGCTTATTGAATATTGCTACATCAGACAGCAATTATGGTTTATTGAATGGTTCACAAAGTTTTCCGTGGTAGCAGTGGTTAAAGCAATGAAAAAGCACCCTACTTTTCTGCACTGACTGGGCTAATGAAGACAGGCATGTGTGCTATGAGGGAAATTATACCCGGACAGTTCCGCTGCAGTCTACTCTCATTTCGAATTCAAACTGTCAAGGGTTCTTTTATGTGCACACCCATGTGTACACAGGACCTTTGTTTTTCATCATCCCATCCAAATGTTAGGCCCTCCATCCTGCATCACTGACAAGAGTAAAACATGCCGGAAAATCCTTAGGAAGTTTCTCAGCCAGCACTGAGAGTCTGGAGCCCAAGACATCCTGGTAAGCAAGCCAGCGTCCTATCCATTGAGCCACTGTGGCCCCCACAGTGGTTAAAGTGGTGGTAATGCTTAACATAAACATTGTATAAAGACTATGGTGTCTGTGTGAATATAAAACATACCTGTCATGTATAATATCTTGACAAGACATTACAATAACTATACCAACTACACATGAACATATTGCTTGTATACTTGATACACATCTGAAATATACACATAAACTGTGAAAAAACATTTTGACCATAAAAAATATTGATATACATTGTCCATCAATTTTACAGCATCCCTGAGAACATTTCTCGCCCCCCCCCCCCCCCAGGTTGTTCTGAGCTAGTTACGGCCCTGGGCAGAACATTGGCTTGAAAAATCTCTGTCATAGATGAGATTCAAAACTTCTGCTAGACTTTAGAATCTGTGCACTAATCAGACTACCTATATTGTCCAAGAGATATCAGGTAAGCAATAGAGTTAAAAAGATTTGTAGAACAAATTCAGTAATCGCTACAAATATTCTAGCAACTATACTGTGCTGCTTTAATGTGCTGGTTTTTCGCATTTAGTGTGCCGTTCAAAATTTCGCCGCACAATTAGTGTGGCGCAGCACACTGGTTGATAATCACTGTATTAAGATAACAGGACATTTCAGACCCGTAGCCAGCGGGGGGCAAGGGGGAATACCTACTGTAGACTGTGCCGGGTGTGCCCCCCCCCCCCCCCCTAAAAAAGTCACTGCTGCTCTGCAGCCAGCAAATTTATAATTCTGAGTACCTGTAGTACTAGTGTGTCCTGCTTCAAGAAATCTGTCAGTAATACCTCAAATAACTAAATAATGACATTATATGCCTTTAAATATATACATTGTATTATTACTAAGTATCTAAACTACTGACTAACAGATATTATTCATTGAGAGATTATGTCAACATTGTTGCATTTTCTTCCATTGTAATTGTAGAAAATCAATAAAATGATTGATTGGATTTGAAGATTATACTATTATACATTTTTCAGACAAAATTATAAGATTTGTGATTAAAACATTATAATATATAAATATCCTACTTTTCAGATATATTTGCTATATCGTCCTTATCAAGTTTAAATGTGATAAAATAATTCAAATAGGCATTCACAATAATAAAACATGCCGGGAAAAATATGCAACCCGAAAGCAAACACAGCATTAACTCCATGCCATAATGGTTTATTTTTAGCTCTTAGATACGTCATCCAGACCTTGGGTTGCATTGTTTTTCTAATATAACCCTGCAAGACTGGACATACAAGATTTGTTTAGACCTACGCAAAAGGTTATGACCTTTGTCGATTGCGCGTGGGTGGATATCCTCAGCCAATCAATAACCGGTTTTATGCGCTCACGGTAGTAACAGCCAATCAGTATGTATCATAGTTAAAGCGGAAACGAAGCTACACAGCCTGGAAGTAGAACTTGACGAAGACGAAAGCCGAAGGATTTCTCTAAAGAATATTGCACAGTGGTTTGTTTGTTATTTTCTTTACCATTAATACCACCACATTCAAGATAGTTTTTCCAATGGTCAATAGTGTCAAAGGCAGATTCCTAGCACGGGATTAGTAGGCAGATTATTCTGAATTAAGCATTTGTGGACGTTGAGACATCCGTGATCCCCACTGCTCCTTCTCTCTCTCCTTAACGGCTTCAGTCCGTTGTTTTTCTGGCTTTTTGATATAAAACAACGACGTCTCTATATAGGTTTAAAAATATAATTTAGTTCTACTCAACTGTCCATACTATCTAGAATCAAATGGCTAAATGGTTTGAAAAGTAATATAATGGCCGAATCAAATAAAGATCAGTTTAATTTGGTGAAAAATGAAAGTCAGTTGGTTGATTATCAAAAAGCCAATCCCAAGTTTTCATTTCTATGTGTATATTAATAATATTATATACATTGATCTGTTTTATTTTACTTTAATTTCAGCACCTCAACAAAATGGGCCGCAGCAAAGCAAGTAGTGGTGCTACAGCTTCTCCAGGACCCTCCACTGAAAGTAATAGTAACTCGATGGCATCAGCTGAAGTTAAAATTCGAGAACTGCTGAAAGAATTATTTAAATTAATTCATTCTGTGCAGGTTTGTATACAAAATATTTGACTGGCATTTAATTTATACATTAGCAGAAAATTTGATCAAATCCATAAAATGTTTAGAATACACTTCTAAGAGTAGGCCTAGTGGGTAAAAAAAATCAACAATGTGCTGACGGTGAAACAGACTTTAGAGCAGGTTTCCTACTGTGCAGTTCAATATACTGAGTTAGATTTGTGTAATGTGGTAGCCAGTACCATGTTTCAACTCAAACTATTCAAACAATATCTTAGTTCTGTTTTCATTTACAAATAATTATATTCTTGATAATATCTCTGGGCTGCTGTTTATGTCAGACAAGGAAGTCACGATGGCACAGTGAGTAAGACTTCAACCTGGATGTCCTGTGTTTGATCCCCGCATTGGACAAGAAAGTTCATCAAGATTTTCCGGCGTGGTTTCTCCTTGTCAGTGGTGCAGGACCAAGAGTCTGACAAGGGACAGTGTATAATCGCTTGAATGGGATGAAAAACTGAGGTCCTGTGTACTCATTAGCAGGCATGTTAAAAATCCCTTAGCAGTTGGAATTTGATATAAGAGTAGGCCGTAGCATCGCTGTCCAAGCAAAATTTCCCTCGTAGCACGTCTGTCTTCATTGGCTCTGTCAGGTTAGAACGTTTAACGCCTTTTCATTTACATCCAGACAAAGTAAGTTTAAGCTAAAATCTTTCACACAATTTAAAACAATGTCAGCACTGTCAGTCTAATTTCCATATTGTTTTAACAGGAAGAACGAGCTCGAGGTGAACACAATTTATCAAACATATCTAAGACACATGAAAGAATGCAACAGGAACAAAGGAGTAAGTAATAGTATATATCTTATCCTTAAGCAGTTATCACAAACTTTACTTAAAAGTACATATTTTCATGCAGTTAGCAAATGATTTATTGACCCCTCAACTAATGAATTCCTTAGCTGCTTGATAATAGCATTGCACTTCTTTAGTATTGTTGATATCTAAATGACTTTGGACTCCTGTCATAAGGAATTATGCTGAGATCAAAAGGGCAAGTGAATTGTTGCTTCCTATTATTCATATTCAGGGCTCTCAGGTTATTAGATGCTGTCGGATGATGATTCTCCTTTCAAAAAAGCCTTCATCATCCACAGATTAGTCTTATTCTTGTTTATTACAATTTTAACGTCCAATACATTAGTTTAAATGTCACATGGGTCATCTTCTCCCCTCGTCAATAAAAGGTCCAGCTGATTGATGTTTGGTATCATCAACGTGCATAGGAAAAAACATTAGGAAAATTGCTTGCTTTTTCCTTTGGCTGTTTATACATCCCTAAGCATTGAGAGAGATTTTCACAGAATACGATTTCCACAGGTATACAATCCATGATTCATTTTTGCTATTTTCTTATACTAAATGTCTTTTACTAAATATTTCAGTCACACCATATTATAAGAACAAATTAAGAGGATTATATAATACTGCCATGCAAGATGCAGAAGCTGAAGCGGAGTAAGTATACATATTTTAGAATTATGTTATCAATACTCTATCAATACAGTTCCACATCCTGTGACCATGTAAGTCTTTTCAAAAAGAAGCAAATTGAAATGTAACTGGTTTTAAACAGTATAAATTTGCCCAAAGTATTTGATTTCTACAAGGATAAATTAGGTGTGACATTGAATATTGCTTTATCTATGAAATACCATTTTGATAGAACTAAGATATATGGTTCTAAAGACTCAATATTAATCTTTGATAGATGCTATTGACTTCTTAATTGCAGACTTCTGAGAAAAGCTCTGGATAAAATAAGTGATATTAAATCTATTCGTGAAAATAGAAGGCAGGGTAGGTACAGATAGAATTTTCATATTTTCAAATTCCTATCAGGAATACTATTTGCATGCCCGAAAAGGATGTTTCCTAGGACAGTTTATAGAAATAGTTGATACTGTTCAGACACCAGATATGGTCAACCATGATGTGGTCAACAGGCTAGAATGTGTTCAAAGCAGAAATGTAGTCCATACAGTCTGCATCACATGTTTTTTTAATTAAAAAACTGAAAACACTTCAAAACTGAACAATAAGCGATTCTGACAGTCTTACCTCTAAATCAGTGTTGACTCCAATTGCTTAATTTTGGTAGCACAATTGCACATTCATGTATGAATTTTCAAAATTGGCAGCATCCGTCTTTTTCTTCTGAACAAGCTCACTTTGCCAGTCACATCAACATTCTTGATCGTCTGGACTGTCGTGGAGTCCCTGCTGTCTCATCTATTTATTTATATATATGATTTGTTTCATCATACAGATTCTGATCGACCCAAACAAATAATGAGACGTGGGGTACTAATGTCGATGTTACAACAGAATGCTGTTACTTTACCATTGTGGGTCAGCAAACCTGGGGAAAAGTAAGTTTCTTACAATGAATTTTTGTATGTTTCCTAAAGACTGTAATGTGATATAAACGAGGTTAGGACACCAGACCCACAACTTTATTTTGCACACCGTGGATTGCATTTTTGCATTACACTGCCAATTACACAATTTATATTTCTCAACTTTTGTTTATTTAATTTGTTTCTCATCGAAACTAATAAAATTTACTATTTAAATACTCCACCAACTTTGAGCTTAGATAATGTAATAATTACATTTGAATATTACAAAAAAATAAGCAGGGTTGTGATGATCATTTATACAAATTTTGGAAGTTAATGGTAGGCAGTTGACGTCACATTTGATCAGAAACCAAGTTTCTGTGTACACGTTGGCAGTTCAAAGTCAATGCAGATTAGGTGGAAATTCCGCTGTCAAGGAAAAATTTCCCTAATACTCACTGCATGTCGCATGTCTGTCTTCATTCTCCTGATTGATATAGAAAGGTACAACATTAAACCCAATTTCATTTCTTCAATTATACATGTTTGTTTGTGGCAACATATATATTATTTCTCTATTTATCTAGACCTCCTCCTCTGTGTGGGGCTGTATCAGCAGATAATACTTATGTGGCAAAAACTGGTGATAAGGTAGCGGCCCGTGTTAAAAGTCAAGATGGAGAAGAAAACTGGATTTTAGCAGAAGTAGTTTCTTTTAATTCTAATTCCAATAAATATGAGGTTGATGATATTGATGCTGAAGAGGGAAAGGAGTAAGTTTATTAGAATTCCCCATAAATCTGTTTTTAAGAGTCAATGTACTTGTTGATCCCATTTAAAAATATGTGTCCCTCAGGAATTGTTTTAGTGCCCTTGCTGTTAGATCTTATGGGCAGAAAATAACTTATTAAAGGGGCATTAGGTAAGATTAGATAAAGAGCTGACAATTCTAGCTAGCTATAATGGTTAATAAATAGATAATGAAAACAGAATATGCTCAAAAATTCAGTCAAATTGCTTCATTCTAAACCAAGATATTAGTCATTCAAATGTGGTCGTATATTGTCGTTGCCCCCATTTGTCGGTCTGGCGCCCACAATTGCTTGTGGGCTCTCTACAGGCTGATGTTATAATCCGATCAACCTTAAATTTATACAGTGTTTAAGATTATGAGACGAAGAGTCCTATTGATTTTCAACAATTTCCGATAATTACTGAGAGAGTTCTGGCCCTTGATCACATTGACATATCTTGTGGACACTCTTGAGGCTAAAGTTAATATCTGATTGACTGTTTAAGGTCATAAGACGGAGAAACCGATCAATTTTCAACGATTTCCGATAATTACTGCCAGAGTTATGGCCTTTGATCACTTTGAAATATCTTGTTGGCACTCTAGAGGTTAAAGTTAATATCTGATTGACTTGAAATTTATGCACAGTGTTCGAGATGGGCGATATCCCTGGAAACAAATATTGCGATATTTTGGATATTATCAGTATATTGCGATATTTTATAAAATGTCAGTAATTTATTGTTTATCACCCTTTTATTGTAAATAAACATGCATAAAAAGTTGATTTTCAACGATTTACTGGTTTTAACGTCATGAGGCGGTTTTTATTTTTCCGACAGTTTCACATGTATATTGAAAAACCGAAATATTGCCCAGCTCTATATAGTGTTTAGTCATGGGACAAAGAATTAAGCCTATTGTTTTTCGACGATATCCGATAATTACTGACATAGTTATGGCCCTTGATCACTTTGAAAAAGCCAATTGATTTTAAATTTATACAGTGTTTAAGGTCATGAGATGAAGAATCCTATTGATTTTCACCAATTTCTAGTGACTATGGCAATTAATATTAAATGTTTTGTATGGTAAACATTAGAATAGGGCAGAACTAGAAACCAAATGGATTGTTACTCGTAATTAAATTTTAGTGTGTTGTAAATGTTTTTATTTCTGATAAAAGAAAAAATATGCGACAACCCTTGTTGACTCCCCGGGCAACTTAGCTACTGTGTGTATATGTTTTGTTGCCTGGCAACTCATCTTTATGTTAAATTATCCATCACAAAATGTAGTCAAATCCACTAAGTATCGCAGGCTAACAATGGCATTGAGAGTTGATTATGGTCTGGATAAGTTAATTAATGTGTAATTAATTATTTAACATTTCAGGCCCAAAGAAAGATACGCAAATAGGCAGAATTAACTCTTGCATAATGCATGTTTAAGTGATCTAGAAATTTGATGCATTCATTGGTCATTGAAAGAAAACATCTGCTTGCATGAAACACTTTCATAAGGCATATGGAAATTATGGTTAAAAAAATGGTTTCTTTTTATTTCAGACGCCATTCAATCAGTAAAAGAAGAGTAGTCCCCCTTCCAATTTGGAAGGCTAATCCAGAGACAGATCCAGAGGCATTGTTTTCAAAAGGAACAGTAAGTTTTAACTTTGAAATATCTTATTTGTGGTAAAATCTTTTTGAAGTTTAAACAAACAGCTAATTAGATATGTAGTAGTTTCTTAAAATTTGAATCGCTAAAAGTCTTGCATAGTTTTCAAAATTATATCTCTGTTCATTGTACATTACAGTTTTTAGTTACATGTATGTAAATACCAAGCAAGGGCTCTATAAAGACCATTAGTATCTCATTATAGTGCTCACACAAACATTGGCATTCAAATGATGTAGAAGGCTAACAGAATTTTGGGTGTTCATTATTCATGGTCAATTCTAACTAATGGAATTGTGTCTGTAGCCTCTTCTACAAATTATTTATTTTCTTCTTTGAGTGGCATTTAAAACCTCTGTATTTTATATTCATCGTCGTTTGGTTGAATACTCAATATAACATCACTTTAATTAAAATAATAATTGTGTTCCATATTATGTCTAAAAATATTGATTAATATTAATCAATGCCATCAACTAATACTCAAAAGTAAATAAATGAATAAACATATGTGAAAAGAGTGTGGATTTCAAAGATTCACAATTTCTCGTAATTTTAAAAAACAAATATTACAGTGTAAACATTGATCATTTTAATTGAAGCGAATATTCAAATAGCATTCAAGTAAAATCTGCATTTAATGTAACCACTATCTCATTGAGAGAATCAAGAAAATAGCTTTAGACCATTATCTATGCAAATCAACTGTGGAGGAAGCAGAAAGGACAAAATATGAAAACCATGCCAACAAGATCAAACAAACTAAGCTTATATTATAAATAAAAGATTATAACTGAAAAAATTGTAATTCGTAACTATTATATTTTCAGTTGATGTTATCATTATATCCACAAACAACTTGTTTTTATCGTGCAATTGTCGATGAACCACCAAAAGGCGTAAGTAATGTATTTCTTTATTATCAGATTGTACGATTTGTAAACTGGACCAAAAACAAACACAAAACAAATGATTAATGTATTCTGTTTCTGATTTTTTCTGTTCCGAAATTTTAATTGCTTTGTTCGTGTGTTTTTCTCAGATTTCAAAGATTACGTAATGACAGGTGAAAACAGCCAGTATGTCAAATAGAGTCTGGACACATGATGCTAACTTACACTTAGAACTATAGGCTTGCCTCGTCATCTTTTGATACTTGCATACAAAGTATGCGGTACTTTCCAAATGGTCACTTATTCCCTGGTCGTCATATTTTTAGTATGGTAATGTATGACCTCCCAGGTTTTCTCTGGATCCTCCAGTTTCCTCCCACTGCTAAAAGACCACTACACACAAGCGAATTATTGAAATAAATTGAACCATGTGTTAGTCCCGAAAGCCTGTTTCTCTATGTCAGTGTTTAGAAAACAGTAATCGGGTCTACACTTCATAGATTTTCCTATTGACATGAGACAGGGAAAGGGCAGTGGTGTAAAACATGGCATTTTGTATCTTCTATCTCTTATAACCTATAATAAATAACTGCATGTGAAATTCTGATGTCCACCCATGTAGAAACATCTCTTTTTGGGCCAAAGTATCCTACCTGTCTTCCGCATGTGACCACAGCAAATAAGATTAACCTATAAAATAGCTGATACATTAAATGCATACATGAACCAATCTCTTCCGAAAATAAAGTTTTTATAAATGATGGGTGCTTATTTTTTTGTTATTTTCAAATGAAATTATTACATTATTTCAGCCCCAAGATGATTATTCAGTGTTGTTTGAAGATACGTCATATGCAGACGGCTATTCTCCGCCACTGATGGTTGCTCAAAGATATGTTATAGCGTGTAAAGACGACAAGAAAAAGTGACAGTATTATCATTTTGTTCTAAAAATGTGTGTATTGTTCTCAGCGGGAGAAACTTCAAATGGGCCATTAAACTTCTATAAACGAATTGGGCCACAAGTGTCATCATTATAACACAGTTTATGAAAGACCAGCAAAAAAGTGCTTAATTTTTTTCGTGTTTCTATTGAAAAATTGTCTAATGTAAGAATGTCTTGAGGGAGGAATCTGTGATAGGGTTATATGTTTATGTTGAATTCTAATTTGCCATCAACATCTATGTGCTATGGATTGTGAAAAGTTATGGAGACATGGAGAAAAAAGACAGGCAGAAATTTCTATAGATATTTTCTTGTGATTGTGGAATGAGAAATTTTAAAGTTGTGAAATTTGTCAGCTGATAATAATATAAATGTGCAACTGGTGAAAGGAAGAAGATGGTCGGTTATTCACAGAGCTTGTGTTGTTTATTCTGTATTTGGTCTTGCCAGGTGACACAGATTCAAAAGTCAAGTCTTTGAAGTATCTGCTCTTATTGTTTTGATAATCATTATGATGTTCAAATTAACAAACAATATTGTAACAAGTTAAAGGGGCATTATGGGAGATTAGACAAAGAGTTGACTGTTCTTGCTATAATAGTTCAAAAATAGAATATGCTCCACTCTGAACCGAGATATTAGCTTTTGAATTTTAGACTAGCCTCAATCATCATTACTAAAGTCAGTACGATAGAAAACAAAGTCTTGATTATCAATTTTTACGTTTAATTATTTTTTTAAAAATATCGCAAGCTAGCGATGGCATCGAGTGTTGATTATCGTCTGGATAAGTTAATTAATGTCTAATTAGTAATTTAGATAACATTTCAGGCCTAAAGAAAGACCTGCAATAGACATATTTAGCTCTTGCATAATATATGTTTAAACATACTAGGCTGAATTGCATACAAATTACATGGGCTAGCTTTAAATCTGACTAGAGATTTAGGCAACAGAGTGAGTGGCACACCCTAAAATGTTGATGCATTAATTCAACCATAGAAAGATAATTATAATGTCCTGACAGACTGTGGTGACACATTATTACCATTGCTGTGCTCAGATAACTTACCCTAATGAAGGCTATAAAATGAAAGTATGATGGAAAAGGAAGGACAATAATGAATAAAGCTGCATTTCCTTTAGTACGGATCCTGTCCGGCTCCGGTCCGGGAGTAGACATAGCACATGGCAGGTTGTGTATCCTTATATGCGGTTATTCAAGCAGAAGGGCCCTCTTTTCAACATGGCACCGACATTGTCAAGGTTCGTAAAAGAAGAAAAAACCTATTTTTAGCTTTTTCCCGTGCGGGCTACCCAAACTGTGTTTACTTATGTGCGTTTACGGACACGGTTCCGCAAGCGTTTCCGTACCGAACGCTACATGGTCCGTTTCGAAAAACCGTACCGGACGCTGCATACAGAACCGTATCCGCACCTGCACATAAGGAAACACTATTACTAAAATTCTATGAAAGTGTTTTTTTCTGTATCCGCAACCGGACCGGAGCCGTACTAAAGGAAATGCAGCTTTAGGCTAGCAAAGAGATTTCCTTACTCCAATGGGAAATATACAAACTTTTATTCTTTAAAATGTATTTACATGTACGTTTGGTTTAACCTGTTTATACTCCCAACATCAAAATATCTGTATTGAAATATAATGAAATGGGGTTTAACGAAATTGAAGTATAAGAAGACTGTGAAGACCAGGATACATGTATGTAAATTTTTTAAATGAATGTGTATAATGCAGGGGAAGTCTTTTTCTTAAAATTTCAAGTAATATTGATGATGACATAGGGAATATACTTTTAACATACATGTTCATGTACCATTTAATAGTTTGGTTGAATTTATATGTGTATATTTTCTGTATTGACAAACTTAAGAATTGGTTTATAAATTGAGATATTGCTAAACAAATACATGTACATGTAGTCATATTGGATGTAAATTCCTGTTGTATTTAGAAATATTTTGGAAAGCCTAGAAATTGCCATTATTCATTGCTATCAATTTATAATATAAAATGTTTATAACATGGTTGACTGTACTATGTAACATCACAAAAATCATGAATAAAAATTGTCTATTTCAAACAAAGAATTTATTTCTATATTCTCACATTGAAGTGTATATTGTTGTCACCACCTGTCATCTATATAATTGCTTGTAAATGCTCTGGAGGTAACAGTTATCATCTGATTAACTTTATGTACCAAAGATGAAGAATCCTATTGATTTTCAACGATTTCCAATGAGAGATATGGCCATTGATCTATCCTAAAGGCTAACATTATCATCCGATTGACTTGAAATATGCACAGTGTTTAAGTTTATGATAATTACCGCCAGAGTTCTTGCCCGTAATCAATTCTTAAATTCTTACAGACACTCTAGAACCTAATGTTATCATCCGATTGATATGAAATTTACACACAGAGTTTAATACATGTATGTTAATTGATTATCGACGATTTCTAACTCAGACAGCTAAAGTTGACATTTGATTAAGGAGATAAGGAAGAGGCAGAGGTCAATCAAAGTTTATTATTAAGTGATTAAATATTGTACAGGAGTTCCTTACTTATCAATAAATAGGCCCTAATATCACTGAAAATAACAGAAAATAGCATAAACTCCAGGAGTTTTACTTAAGAAATTTGTCTATTACACAATGCAATCTGTTCTGGTTCAGCAGATAATCAAATTTATTAAAAAGCTAAATCTTTAGGAATAACAAAGGTGGACAACCAAGTCTTAAATTAAGAGACTAGAGTTGTCTCCTGTGGTATGCGATCACGTGACTGGGGAATTCTTTTTGTTACTATTTATAGTGGCAGTGGCAACGAGCACATGTTTTCGGGAAACTTGACCGGTTGTCTGATAAAATAAGGCCTATATTCATTAAATTTAGTATCGACAACCATCGTAATTCATGGTGCGAAGTTTGTCTGCGTTTAATACCCCTGGTGTTCTTCGCTTTTTGTCTATTCATTGTCGATCAGGTGTCAGTTAGCGCCATAAATTCTGAAATTCATATCAAATTCATTGATCGAAATCAAATTACTGAAGAGTCCACACTGATCATATCATCCTCAACCTATATCGCAGTTAGTGTAATACAGTCAACCGTTCATTATCATTGATTCGGGTAAACTTTGCACGTAAAGCAAGAACAGGGGCAATCATGGCTTCATCGAAGATTGACGGAAAATGGTTTCGAGAAATAGACGATGGCTGGAAAGGTTACAGCGTTTCATTGGAAATAGAGGAAGTTTTGTACCACGAAAAGTCAGATTTTCAAGATATTTTGGTCTTTAAGAGGTGATTATATAAATACTACTTTTAATTTCGGCATGACATGTATGTAGACATTGACTGGTTCATAATAAGAATTGATTTCAGGTGATTTTGATAATTTCCTAGACAACCTTTCTAGTTCTAACCTAACTATATTATATAATGTAAACTTACTATAAAATCTACTTCTAGACAGAATTATTCTGCCTATAAACCAATATTATGTTAGGAGGGTTTTTTTGGTTGGTTTTATGCCGACTTTAAAATACTAGATCTAAAATCAGTGTAAAAAGAAAAGAAAACAAATAGTGTGAGGTTATTTGTATAAATTCCTATATATAATCATGCATGTTAAAATCCAGACTAAAATATTATGCCTCTAACATTTCACCATCAATATTTCGCGTGATTTTGATTCCCGGCCCTGTTGTACTACGTGGCAAGGAATAGGGCAGCCTGTTCAACTCGTGGGTTTTATCCCATTGCTAAAGACCCCTACGCGCAAGCAAATTATTGAAATAAAATTGAACCATATGTTTGTCCCAAAATGACCTAGTTTGTGTCAAGTGGAGATTACACTGATTAAACCCCATTCTTTCACCACAAAAATTGATTGTAAAGATGGGTTCCCAGAAAAGTATTTATCGGGTGGTTATTTCCAATAAAAGTAGGCCCCTATGGTAATTTTGGTATATATGGAAAGTAGAGATATCCAATCTTACTAGAAAAATACTGGATTCCCCGAAAAACACTCATGGAGCATATACAGGACAAAAATGTAAGGGTTCCCCTAATCAACAGCCCTGACGATTAGGAATTTCTGCACGCGTGATGTCAAAGATCACACGCAAACATTGAGCGCTTGATGTACAAGTTGATAAACTTTATGAAGAGTTAGACGTACAAAACTTGCTGAGATAAAAACTACGGAAAAAGACGCTGGTAGTGGATAATCCGAGAATTTAATTAGGATTCGATATTTATAATAAATAGTAAGCGATTAAAGACAACATCGTCTTATGTTTGCAATGAATTCTCCTCTGACTTCTATGCGAGGTAAGTCCCGTGACGTAAACATGACCTGGTTTGATCGAATTTTTATAGCAGGACATTCCTTCGCAATTACAATGTTTGAGAAGGATTTGAAGCAAAGTTATGACAAATTAATTAGTTTGAATATGTTTTTAGTCCATTTATAACATTAAATCACCCAGTTTGTACGCGGGAACCCATCTTTAAAGGCAGAATATTTTAGTCTGGGTTTTAGGCAGCAGTTAACTTATTAATTAGTTAACATATGAATGAGATTAACGTGTTAACAGAAATGAATTAACGTTTTACACTTTGTGATGGAATATTGGGCTGGAAAATAATACATGTATACAGTCCAGTGAAAGGGCCGAATTGATAACATTTGTAAGTCAGAGGCCACATTGCCACTGAGTCGACTGACGCTTTAGTTACGTCTGCCGGATCGCACATCTTTGGTCGAAATAACTTGGTCTCCAGTCTCCCACTTAGAATCAAGGTTCAAGGTCGAAGGCACCAAATTTGATTTTTTTAAAAACGTTTTCCTCTCAAAATGCCACCTATATCCTAGATTTGGAGTCCAGTAAAAAAATGGGTTGAATATGAAAATGGCAATGATTTAGGAGCTTTGATACTGTAATTAACCCATACTAATATGTTAACTTAAAAATTTTAACGCGTAAACCAGTTAAAGGAAATTTTAACTTCCTCTCAGCCCTGGGCAGCATAAGTTGGTTGAGTTAAAATTTCAATAATTAGATAAATCTATAGGTAGTTACACTTTGAATGTGATCAGTACATGTTTTCAAAATTAAATGGCGTCTCTATTACAGATTTTGTTTTCACAGGGAATATATACAAAACCAGATTGTGCTGATTCATGATATATTCAGTGTCATATTGCCATAGTTACTTTAGTAAGGGATATTCAAATCGCTTCGCTCTCAAAGCGATATGAATATCAGTTACTAAAGTAACTAATATTGCCATAGCCTTTGGCTTTATGTAGTATGTACAAGTACTTACATTCATACAAGAAGTGGCACTTAAAATTTGTTTCATTATACATCTTTTCATTACATTATTACAATTCAATTAATTGTTGAAATGTTGACACACTTTGCTTACAATTCACAGATTTTTATATTCATCTGACCTGAATAACAACTAACACTGACATTATCTCAACACATCTATCCTGTTGTGTTTTCATGAGAATTATTTGATTGACATTCAAATGAAATGCATCTCCATGCTGGATACTGGTTAAATTCATATTAGATTATTTTCGGATGGAAACAATTATCCCCATGGCCTCTAAGCTCAAATGTAATTTTGATTAAAATGACTTTTCAAATGTAATCATAACCAATGTTTGGTTTCACACCTCTAGATTAAAATGTATATATTCCATATAATCTTCTGCTACATCTATCTGATTGATTGAGAGTTAATTAATACAAACCTTTGATTACAGTCTACATCAATTCAGAAATCCACTTTTTCTCAAAAGTACCCCAAATAAAAAAAAATGATAAAATTGAAAGTTTTGTTTAAACACCCAGAATTCAACGTGGTTGGTATTATGTCACCACCATGTCCCGTCCATTTGGTGTGTACATGTAGCTTTGGGGTCATGTACGAACCCTGTCGATATTCAGCAAAAAACGCCCAGATTTCAGTGTTGTTGGTATTATATCACCACCATGTCTGTCCATTTAGTGTGTACATGTAGCTTTCGATATTCAGCAAAAAACGTGTTATGGCGATATATAGTCTTGGAAGATTTTTTTTCAAATTTAGTGTGAAGAATTGCAGTTGTGAGATGATGAACCCATTCAGCTTTCCACAAGCTTTTGAACAAATTTGGTGTGAAGCATTGATGTTATAAGGATACAAACGTTATTGATATTCAAGGTTCCGCTACCTTACGTTACAGAGCTACACCACACCTTTTATGAAAACCTTGTTAACAAATTAAAATCTGCAGAGTATAAGACAAAGTGTTTACATTCTCAGTAAATAGTATTAACTTAGAACGTTAGAACCCAAAATGTATAATTTAGAATGAAGTCATGGCTATGTAGATTCTAATCTTGTGCTCTTGGCCTGCGATATCACCACGGTAGAAGCACTCTAGGTACACCTGCTATATGAATGAAAAGAATCACTCTCTTTATCTTATTTAAAAATCCCTCAGCTTCTGCAAACTGATAGAGCTATTTTAGGAGAGCAGTTTTTTTTAGCTTTTGCAAATTGAGAAAAAAATAAATGAATTTAAAAAAAATTGTATGCAGTTTTGTTATCTTATTATATAGGAGTATTATGACATGCTAGATATTATGCAGCGTGTGCTAGATAACGTTCTAGTGCTTACACTGGGTAGAACGTAATACTTGATATTTCACTGTGAGTACAATGGTTAAAGTACAGTTAAAGTAGCTAAGTCTTTAACTCAGTATCATCCAAAACCTTCGACATTGAAAACGCGAATTATTTGTCAATTTTAATCAACATTGGTGTTGTGATCTTACCGGGAAAAGATGGGCTTCTGATATCCAATATTTAAGACAAAATAAACATTTTACCATTGGTACACAAATCGTGTACCATAATGCCTTTCAGCGCAATTTGTAACAAGCGACACGATGCATGAGGTTAGACATATTCCACAAGTCATATCACACGGTGACCCCATATTCTTAAATGGAGAGCATGCACAATAAATACTATCGGTATAGACTGGAATAACCAGTCGTTAGAGATTGCCATCCGATTGAGACTTCTGGCATATTTCACCGAACATAACTGCTTCAAAATTAGAGTAAAACGGAAACGATTGAATGTAAATCAGTTTATTTACATTCATATTACATTATTATATACGTTGCGACCCATTTGTGTCAATTTGTAGGTCCCAAATATTAGCGATTTAGCTCCTTTAAAGTAAAGTCGTCGGTCGCATATAAAACTAGTTAAAGAAAAAAGTTCCAGTTTTCCTACATGCCCACATTAAAATGTGGTTGTATTTTGTTGTTGCCCCAGCTGGTCCGTCATCAACAATTACTGTTAAACGCACTGGCTTAAGTTAATATCTGACTTGAAATTTATACACAGTGTATATGTTGATGAGAAGCCTATTGATTTTCAACAATCTCCATTAATTGATTCACAGAAAGCACTTAAAGCCAATAGAAAAAAAGAATTCCCGGTAACTACTTCATGGATTGTTAATCTTTCAAGATCAGTTTTTAATCTCTGTGAATGCTGTCATTATTTACAAAAAATAAATATATGCAACAACCTTTGTGGACAGTCCACATGTTTAAGCATTATATATATTGAATAGTCACGATGTAAATTATACAAAAAGACCACGTAACCTTATAGTATAGATTGCATTAGCACTTTTATTTAACACCAAAGTTGGTCAGTAAATGGTTGGTTTTAATTCATTTATACCATTACATCAGGAATGTTCAAATTAGATTGTATCCACCATCTTGGACAAATCTGCCTATTCACTGTTAAGATACACTTATTAGTTTAAGATTTATTACAAGTGTACACATAAAAGTCTATAATAGTTTTGACGAAGATGAGCAGATGTCTTGGAAATTCTGCTTGGCTCATTTCTTAGATTTTTGATAATTACCAGTAGGTAGGTTAGTCTAATATTAGCTTGAATTTGATATTGCATGAAATTAATTACATAGTTTCTTTTTGAAAGCAATATGAAAACAGTAATGTCACTTTAAGGAGACCTATTTGTATTGTGGTAAGTACATGTATGGAGGTCAGGGTGATCCTGTAGCTGTTGGGCTCATTTTTTAGTCGACAAAGTTCAGAGAAAAATATCTAAATAACACTAAGCTAAAACCTTTTTGGTGTCCTTCAACAGACACTGGGAAATGCACATGAAATTTTAGCCAGATTTTGTAGATGCATTGTTTTTTTTAAATTTGTCCTTTTTATGTCTGTAAAAAAAAGTTCTAATTTTTAGAGTATACAGTAATAGTACGGTAACTAAATAATTATGGCACTTTCAGTGTAATGGAAATTGATTACATTGCTAAAAATTAGAAAGTAATTGTAATGATTACACTTAAAAGTTAAATGGTAATGTGCATATAATCCGTGACATTATAAAGGCATAACTTGCTTCATGTTTTAAAAAAAAAATGGCCTTTTTAATGTCTGTAAAAAAAGTTGTTACCGTTTATAAAGTAATGAATAATGGTAATTAATTACTTTCAATGTAATGGTAAATAATTAAATTGCTAAACATGAGAAAGTAATTGTAATGATTACATGCAGGTATTATTATCCCTGTCAAAAGCACTGTCAGAAGCTAAAAATGAATTGTTACTTTCAACCACAAATACACAGCATGAATATCAGAAAATGATGTTGCTAAAATGATCACCACAGCATGTCCTGCTGTTTTTGTCACAAACCAGGTCATTTCGGGACCAAAATATGGTACAATTTTATTATAATAATTTACTTGCACTTAGGGGTCTTGATCAGTGTAAGAAAAACCAGAGGACCTGGAGAAAATCGATATATAAATCGCACGTTACACCATTTTATTGCTTTCATGTTTGCTGTGACATATTCAAGCCATCATTGAAAAGAAAGCGCCAGGAACATCTTCATCTAAAGTTTTATCTTCCATCACTTATATCTTCCTAAAAAAAATTGAAAACCCAGGTTGGTGTGTTACTCTGAATAGACGCATTGCATAAAACTTGCTAAATGTTTTTATTGTATATTTGTGACCACATCTCCAACTTTACCTGAGCAATAAGGCTCCTTCCCAAACACACGGAAGACCCATCAGTACTGATATGGCACGCCAATGTCTCACCAGAGAGAACATCCATTGCCGTAGACCTTACCGTGGACCGATCCTCAACCCTCGCCATGGCCGTGAACGTCTTCCAGCATGACACACTGCCAGAGTTACTCTGGACTTTTTACAGCAGAACGGTGTCAACATTATGCACTTGTCAGCCCTTAGTCCGGACTTAAACCCGATTGAACATCTTTGGGATGAAATTCAGAGGAGACTTAGTAACGTTGTACCGAGACCAAACACAGCCTATGGATTGCTCCAGGCTTTTCTGAGAGTGTGGTTCCAGGTGCCAATGGCGTTCATCAATCGTCTGGTCCACTCCATGACTCCATGTACAGACACTGCGCTGCTGTTATTGACACTTGCAGTGGACACACCAAATACTGATGTATAGACTGTGTACAGACTCTAAACCTTCTCGTAATGTCTTGGAATTTTGATGAATTAATCACTAATGTGTCAACATACTGTTCACAAAAAATTGCTTTGATCCATTTAGTAAGTCATTTTCTAGAATGATTTGATTAAAGTGCCTCTCTAATTTTGAAATCATAATGACAGTTTTTTTGCTGTTTAGTATAGTTATGACTTCCAACTGCATTCCAAGGGCCTTAATGATCACTGCAGATTGTGAAAAATACTATTGTTTATTTCAGTACAACGTTTGGTAATGTACTTGTATTAGATGGAGTATATCAGTGTACAGAGAGGGATGAGTTTTCTTATCAAGAGATGATTGCACATCTTCCTCTTAATAGTCATCCTAATCCAACAAAGGTAGGTCAAAAACACACATTTTTACTTGAAAATTTACCAGTTATTTTATGCATAAAATGATAAAATGTGCTGGGTTGTCTTTACTTTATTTCATTTTGATTCGATTCATCTGTAAACATTTCATGAAACTACTATAAGATAGTATATTTATTTTTAATTTTTCAAGCAACTTTGATGTTTATTGTAACAAAATAGTGCCTTTTGTTGTGACTTTACAGCAAAGCTCTTATTTATCTGATATTTAATAAAGTACACATTATAGCAAAACGTTTATTTATCTGATATTTAATAAAGTACATTATAGCAAAACTTTTATATTATATTAAGTACATTGTATTATATTGTATTAAGTACATTATAACAATGTACATTATACATGCTATTTAATAAAGTTCATTATTTCGAAACTCTTATTTATTTGATATTTAATAAAGCACATATATAGTGCAATTCTTCTTTATCTGATATTTAATATTCAGCACATTATAGTGAAACTTTTAATTATCTGATATTCAATAAAGTACATTAATGTGAAAGTCTTATTTATTTTATAAAGCACATTATAGCGAAACTCTTATTTATCTGATATTTAATAAAGAACATTATTTGATATTTTTGTACTAATAAATTGAAGGGTTTTGCTATAAGGTTTTTGATATTGGTTAAATGTTATTTCAGGTTTTAGTGGTAGGAGGGGGTGATGGTGGAGTAGTAAGAGAAGTATTAAAATATGCCAGTGTTGAACAAGTTGTGTTATGTGAAATAGATCAGGTACAGTAAATTATTATTACCAATAAAATTAGTGTACTGAATTTGTAGTTGATGACAGGTAATGGTTACAAACTATGTTTGATTGTAACAGCAGTTAATTTTTTATGTGTCACAACAATATTGAACTGTATGCAGATGTTGTTAGATATCATGTTTTATGCAGACTGGTTATATTGGCCTATTTGACAAATAAACAAGCCTGATTAAAAGTCAGATATAGCATTTACGGCCACAATCATCAGATGTTAAAAGCATTTTCTAGCCATTTGAATTTTATACTAGTTTCTATAGATTTCACTACACCATTTTTATTACCATCTGGCAAAGATGTCCAAAATGTGACTTTAGCTACTTAGTACTTATGCCAATATGGTATAGAAAAATATGAATATTATTTGCTATTATTACAGAAAGTGATAGATGTAAGTAAGAAATATCTACCTGGCATGGCATCATGTTTATCTGATCCAAGAGTGTTAGTTCATGTAGGTGATGGTGTTAAATATATGGAGGAGAACACACAATCATTTGATGTCATTATAACAGATGCACCTGATCCAATTGGTAAATATAATATTTCTTCTGAAATTGAAATTTGTTTTTATTTTAGTTAAAATAGGAATTTATTGCAATACAATATGATACTTATTGCAATACAATATGATACGGAAACACCTATTGCCTAGAAATGAAACATTCACCAGTAACTTTGATGTTTGGCGGAAATATAAAATATCACAATATTACTGTTTTTAGTCCAACTGTCCAATGACCCAAATGGTTTATGTCTTACCATCATTGACTCTTTTAACTTTTTGCCATTTCGACTTTATTGGCCTTCTTGGAATGGGAGAGTAGTATGTGAAAGGGACAAATTATGACACTCTTGCATAATAAAAACTAGACATTTTTTCTCAAAGAATATATTGATAGTCTGTACCAAGCGACCATACCAATCAAGGACTAAGCCCACTTGGCCTCTTGTTTAATGTCAGACATATTCTCAAACATATTAGATGTTACTTTGGCCAGCTCTACTGTTAATGTTCACAAACTAATACACTTATTTGTCTTTTTGTAAATGTTGACTTTTTGTTTTAATTAGATTGTAGAATCCAGGGCTCTAACCATGTTTTGTTACTATGGACCATAATTCGTGAAAGTTGAATTTCAAAAAATAGTTGTACATGTAGTTTCTAGTTTATTTTTTACTACTACTTTCAGTCGTTAGTTTATAACTGTTATTTTAGCTTATATTATGTATAAAGAATATAAGAACTACTCATGTGTGAATAAAGGGGGGATATATCGAGCTTACATCAATTGTTCATATTGATATAGTCCACTGATTTTCAATAGACTTCAACTGGGTATTTTTTAACCTACAACAACTGCAATATTGGCCAGAAATGAGCATGCATTCATAAAATAGAACAGGTCTATCTGTCTGGATATTACAGATAATCTGATATTATTCAGATGTAATGCTATATTCAGATATAATGCAATATTTGGTTAAACAGAATCTTTGGAAACCTGCATAGTATTCCATATTTGACTGAATAATGTAACCTACTCACAAAAATATCATACTCCAGTCACCGTGACTTAAATCATATTGATATCATAGTGTGTTGTAAACCGACTGATTGTACTTTTACTGATATTCAAGAGCTCATGGGGGGTTGGATGGCCGAATGGTTAGCATGTGCGCGCTGTATCATACGGTCTGTCAATGGGTCAACTGGCGGGGTTTTGATTCCCCGGTTGTATGTGCCAAGGAGTAGGGCCACCTGTCCAACATCGTAGGTTTTCTTTGGGTCCTCAGGTTTCCTCCCACTGCCAAAGATCCCTACGCGCAAGCGAATTATTAAAATTAATAATTGAACCATGTGTTAGTCCCAAAATGACCTAGCTCATGGGTCATGGGTGCTTTTTGGGTTGAATACAGTAGGGTATTATAGAATTCACACAAGAAATCCTAATTTTCTACCAGACATATTAGCAGACAACAAAACTAAATCAAAGGTGAAGAAAATAGCATCACATCAAAGTATCAAAGCCATTTGGAGCCAGCACATTTTGGAATTGAATATCTGATACTAAACAAATTGTTATTTTGATGTGCTCACATTAATTGAAGACTTAGTTGTTACTCAAACCTGTCCGTTCACACTTGATAGGTAATCTCTATAAAAACTGACTATGATGGATATGTTTTAAATGCTTATGACCCATCATAGTCTGAATAAAATGTTTACATTTCAAATCAACCCCCTAGGCAGAGGTAACCCTGCCTATCACACTTTCATTTTAATAAACTAACACATACTTATGGAAAACGGCTACTACCATATCTATGCAATATTTCAAAGTGTATTATCATAACATTATACTGCAATACTGGACAGAGTAATTTACTATTATTACACATAATTGTGCAATACTCTTCATAATGGGCTGGTGGAGTTGGATGGCTGAATGGTTAGCACGTCCACGCTGTATCATAAAGTCTGTCATTGAGTCAACGGAGACCAGTGTCCCAAGCAGTATTATACGATGTCTGGATAAAACCAGACTTTTATTTTATAAAAATAACGTGCAGTTGAAATGTACCTTCCGTTATCAAGTACAGCACTTCTGTTCCCTTTAAATAGAAATATTGCAAGTTAATACAACATTGATGTTAATCTGAGAGAATTTTCTGTTGTAGTGAAGACAATTACACCTCCTCACCTCCCCATTGTGAACTTAACTAGGTCGTTTGTTGGAAATGTGGCGGATAACAACTACTGTCCCAATACTAAAACATTCTACAATACAAAAATGGTCTACTCTAATTTACTTTGTGAACTCAACTAGGTCGCTTCTGGGAGATGTGACGGATAACAGCCACTGAAAATCATTGTCCCGATACTAAATATTTCTACAATACCCAAAATTTCAAACTCTAATTTACTTGGATGTCTGTTTACACGGACCCGCTTTTCTCCCTGCTTTCACCCTACTCATGACCCCTTTGAACCCCAGGTTGGGAAACACGGTTCTCAAACACAATGTCATGTTTTTGTAATCTACCCCCTTTTGTTAATGATAAGCAAAAACTCTTTAATCAATGATTATATGAAATCAGTGATTTAAATGTTTGGTTTACAATCAAATTTTAAAACTTAATCTTAATGGCTGAAGAAGAGAAATTCTAGTCTAAGATTAGCTAATCTGACTTTTGAGAATGCCATACTAAGTCAATTACTAATCTCTAATTAGCTAGTTACCGATTAGACCTAATCACAGAGTATTTTAGACACTGTTTGAAAATATGGGCCTGAAAGATTAATTTTAATAAGTAGAGATTTTAAAAGATAACATAACGTATGTATCAATAAGTCATCAAAACTAAACAAAATTGGATTTCCATTAGTCAAAGACCACTCTACTTCATGCTATTGACCTATTTACACAGCAATGCTTAGAGACTATATCGGATATCCTATCTATGTTTTTTGCTGAAAACATATCTTAAGATATTTCATAAGAAATACATTTTTAGTAAATCCATAAGAGTAATTAACTATAATTGAACATATCTTTAACACAGTGGTTGAGGATTATGTCACTACTTGAATAAGTCATTACTTATCATTAAAGATACATTATGGGAGATTAGATAACGAGTTGGCAGTTCTCACTATAATAGTTAAAAACTAGATAATGTAAAGGCAATTTGCTGAAAATTTCAGTCAAATTGATCCACTATGAACCGAGAAATAAGCGATCGAAAGTTCCACATAGCCTCGGTCATCATTACTAAAGTCGGTACGACAAAAATCATAGTCTCGATTATTGATTTAATCGTTAAATCGAGAAGGAAAGTTATGCAGCAAATTCCAACAATTATCGCAGCCTAGCGTTAACATCGAGAGTTGATTATGGTCTGGATACGTTAATTAATGTCTAATTAATAGTTTATATAACATTTCAGGCCTAAAGAAAGACCTACAATAGGCAAATTTAGCTCTTGCATAATGTATGTTTAAGTGTAAATTTAATCAATATCTGTGCTGTAATTTAAGCAAATTAATAGTTACTCTTTATTTTTGTCCCCCGCCATTAGAAGAAAGCAGGGGACTATTAAAATGGTTTCGTCCATCTGTCTGTCTGTCTGTCTATCCGTCACACTTTTTGGGACACAATAACTCTCCTAACTGATCTAGAATGTTCAAACTTGGTGTAGGTGTTCATTAAGTCGACGCCTTGGTGGAGTTTGAAGATGATCATTTTCTGCTTTTTTTCTGATTAAGTGAGCGTGATCAAACTTTTTGTATAGTTTCATTACATCAGTACCTTGACTAAGTTCAATAATGGGCATTTTCTGCTCAGGGTAAGCAGAATGATAAGCAATTTGATTGTTCGAGTCTTTAGAACACAATAACTCTCCTTCTAATTGTTCACACTTGGTGTAGGTGTTTATTAGGTGAATGCCTTTATGGAGTTCAAAGATGAGAATTTTCTACTTAGGGTAAGCAGAGAAAAGCAATTTGATGTTTAAACTTGATGTTCATTAGCTGAATGTCTTGACTGAGTTCAATGATTAACATTTTCAGCTAAAGCTAAGCAGAGCTAAGCAATTTGTTTGACCAAGATTCTATCTGATAGAGAGTGGTGAAACTTAGTGTATAGTTTTTAATCAGTTTGATTGCTCGATACTTTTGAAAAAAGATAAACATGCAATTAATTAATATGTGTCATCTATTTATTTCGGGATTTTGGTGGGGGACATCAGCCTGACTGTTGGCTTGTTGCAGGTGCCGCTGAAGGATTGTATACAAAAGATTATTATGAAGGTTTGAAACGAGCATTGAAGCCTAAAGGAATAATCAGTTGTCAAGGTGAGTAATTGACTACTACAGTCTTTACCACAGGCACTTGAAGGGATTAAAATAAAACTTCTTAATACTGCTTATATACTATAATATATAGTCAAGCAGTAGTAAGAAGTTTTATTTTAATCCCTTCAAGTGCCTGTGGTCTTTACATCTCGGGGACTACAAACCCAATATTACTTGAACACAGAAGTTACAATCATACCATGCTAATACCGGTATATCAAGCCATCAGTTGCCAGTAAAAGTGGATGGGTGTATATATTTCTTCCTCTGGCATTTTTTGTGTTCCAAAATTGATCCCACCTGTTTATTGTACGAGTACAGACAGCTTCCTTATTACATCTAGATTATCAAGAATCAGTTCAATAACCCTAATCCTAACTTAAATTCCAAAGAAACACTTAAGTGTGAAGAGCTTAGACAGCAAAACAAAAAATCCAGAATATTGACATGTTCCAACCACCTTTCTGAATAAAGAGTAACATAGCCTACATGAGCATTTTTCAAATTTTTAACTCCCAGAAGCAATTATCTTATTGACCGACTGAAAGTAGCTGGAGCATTAACCGAGGACTAACTTGCCAATACCCTTTTGATAAGTCTATTTGCGACAGATATCGATGCCCACGATTGTCCATTCTTGCAAACAAATCTTCTGGATTAGGAATCAGTTCAGAATCAAAGACAGTTATACGGTTTAAAGAACACACAATTAATGCAGAAATTTTTGTTATTAAGTCAGTGCTTTTTTTTTTGCTCTAATTTATGTCACTATTCCTCTATATTGTTTTGTACAACTTATTATTCTGTATTTCAAGAGTTGCTCCCCTTTTTCCTTTCTAATTAGAATCCACAATAAAACCAACCGAGTCAAGCAATATATAATTTAAAATTTTATATTTGTTTCAGGAGAGACACTATGGTTTGATTTAAATTTAATTAAGAAGATATTGACATATTGTAAGGGGGTGTTTCCTGTTGTAGCCTATGCATCTGGTTATACACCAACATATGCAGGCGGTCACATGGGCTTTTTCTTATGTAGTAATGATTCGGTAAGTAATTGGTTTGGTACTAACTTGGTAGTTGACGTAAGGACACATCATTCAAAAAAAATCATGTGAGATTCCAATGTTTTCGAAAAACCATGCAGTATTTTGTTTTATAAAATACCAGGTAGGCCTAATACTCAGATTAATAATTGTTACTGTGCGATAAAATTACCCAAATTACTTGCAAATTCCATTTTCTTTTATTTTTCAGTCTATTAATTTGAAAGAACCTGTACGAAATTATAATAGTAAAGAATTAGACGACATGAGTATGAAATACTACAGTCCTGATGTACATAGAGCATGTTTCAATGTACTACCTTACTTTGCCAGAAAGGTAAATGTTTTCTACTTATCTATATATGCATAAAAGATTTACTATTTTGTGTATGATTGTCTTGTGATAAGCCTGTAAATGGTTTATGATGTTATTGAATTAATGATATCTGTTTTATGTCATATATAACCATTTGGAGTAAACCCACATTTAAAATGTCAGTGTGAACATTTTTTTTTTTATTATTCACTGATATTTTGGCAGAATGTCAGTGAAACTTTCATTGATAACTATTAATTAAACAGTTGCAAGTGGCAGTAACTCGTCGATCATACAGTATAAACAACGTCGCACAATTCTCTTATTTGGGTCAAGTTAAAATGTTCCTACGATGGGAAGTACAATTAATACCATAGTGAATATTTTGAAAGCAACTACATCTATATCTGATATCTTAATATAGATTTCCGGTGTGGTTTCCCCTCGTCAGTGATGCAGGACGGAGGGCCTGACAAGGACAGCTGTCCAGTCGCCCGGATGGGACAGAAAACCGAGGTCCCGTGTACATATTGGCGTGCACATAAAAGATCCCTTGGCAGTTGGAATTCCATATAAGAGTAGGCCGTAGCGCCGCTGCCCGGGCAAAATTTCCCTCATAGCACACTGTATGGAGTATGCCCATCTTCATTAGCCCAGTTTAGGAGCAGAACAGTAGGACGTTAAACCCCATTTCATTTCTTAATATAGGTAAAGAGTAGAATGGATTGTTACAGTACATAGATCTATATTTTCTATATTTTTTTATTTTTCAGGCTCTAAAAGAAGTCTTAGACACGTGAACACCATGTATTGTTATTAGATCTATGTTATTGTTATAAGATATGGTGTTCTATGCTTATTGTTATAATATATGGTTTAATCCACATAATTGTTATATAAAATATGGTAATATTATTATGTTCAGTGGTTAAGTTAAATGTCTGTGTTATAATATAAGATATGGTCATTTGTTCTATGGTTTAGATTAAATCCATGATTATGCTAAAATATAAGATATGCTAAATTAATGTGTTCTGTTATATAATGAGTGTTCTACACAGTTCATGTGTTAATTAATGTGATGTAATAATATATATTATATATAATAATGATAATTTTATTAAACCTATCCACCTCACTTATATACAGCTTTACTTTTTACACATATATACTAGAGATCTTTTGCTTTAGGGGGGGTAGATGGCTGAATGGTTAGCGTGCGCGCGCTGTATCATAATGTCTGTCATTGAGTCAACTGGCGTGGTTTCGAATCCCTGGTTGTACGTGACAAGGAGTATGGTCGCCTGTCCAACCTCGTGGGTTTTCTCCGGGTCCTCCGGTTTCCTCCCACTGCTAAAGACCCCTATGCGCAAGCGAATTATTGAATGAAATTAAACCATATGTTAGTCCCGAAATGACCTAGTTTGTGTCGAGTGGACGTTAAACCCCATCTCTCTCTCTCTCTCTCTCTCTTTTGCTTTAGCTTTCTCCACACTATCAAATAAGGTATTTTCCCCAAGTCTTTAAATTTCAACTCAGGTGTGTGTATGTAATGTGTTTATTTAACTTTTAATCATTTGGATGATATAATTAATTATAATACCATGTTGTGCTATCCTCAAAATGAAATAGTGTATCTTCACAGTGACCCCTAATACATAAGTTTGCTAGATTGCAGTATCCAGTTTGGCTAATACAATACCTGAATTTTGTGAAGATGATAATGTGGCATAATCAACAGCATTATATTGGAATCAAGTTATGTTTAATACAGGTTTTAAAACTTAAATTACATTACATGAAATTAATGTACTGTTTATTGTTGACGGATTGTTTTTAATCAGCTTGCGATGGGTGATCTCTTCCTTCAATTATAGTATTACGTCTTAACTGTGATCCCCAATGTTGACTGTTACTGTTGAATTTTGTGTAAGATAATAACATTCCTTTAATCAAGCTACTTTAAATAAATAATGTTGATACTTCATTTTAAGAAATCCTCCCAAGTATTTTTTTATGTCGTTTTATAACTACATGCATGCAAATTAGTAACGTTTTTGTTAAAAATAAAACTGTTCTGTTATTAGTTTTCATTCCAACACCTTTCTTAGTGTATTCAGCTGCAGCCAGATATACACAGACTACGAAGCATATGAAGCATATGCGCATGGCTTTGTTTATAAACTGTAAACGACAGTCACATCAGGCATGTTAATTTGTCAATTTAATGTGATGTTGTTCTATCTGGTCATCATTCTGGAAACAGTTTTAATTGTAGATAATGAATACAATTTAAAGAATCTGCAACAGTAATGGTGTAAGAAAATGGCCAACATTTGCCATGTGACTGCTGTTCTCTTGTTTTGAAGTTCTGGCGAATATAATTATGTGCATTTCATTGTACATTGCCTTTAATCGTTAACTTTTTTTTTGTATAAGATTTAATAGATTACATTATTGCCAAGAAAATCCTGTTAATCCAAAAACACACCTGTTTGCTTTAATGTTATGATATATATATCTTTCATATTTTCTTATAACTCATAATATTAAACTCAAATTAATAAACTTTAAAATACAGATGTGATGTCATCCTTTGATGTTGTTGTTCCATTGTTTCAAATAATGGTACGGGCAATGTGCCAAGCGTACATAATTTATACTAGTCGCAATATTGGACCTGCGTGACGTATTTCATTGAAATGCACGTGGTGGGTAGTGTCTGTATTTTAAGTTGTTTAATGGTCTTGTGCAAGACATGCCATCAATGATACGAGTATTTTCCTGTATATGACGACCAGAAATAAAGGCATTTTGATTTTGATATATTAAGTACTGAAGAAAGGGCTTTAATCTTAATGATAAAATTTTACTTTTGCTAATTTCACATCTACATTTATAAGTGTGATTGGGCGCCAGTTAGATAGAAGTGATATATCTTTGCTGGGATAAGTTTAATAATCGATTGTCTTTGTGACTGTGATAATTGCTTATGTTCAAAACTATAGTTAAGCGAATTTAATACTAATGTATTAATATGAGGCCTGTATTCACCGAAAAATTCAATATTCAGCCTGGGGTTTTATTATTTTTAAATAGTTTTAAAGGGACTATCCCGATTTGAACAGTCTCAAAAATAAAAGTCGGAGTACGTATGAAATTTAAGTGCCAAAATATAGAGGTTTATACAATGAATGACCCATGAGCTGTACTTGATAACGAAAGGTAAATTTTTATAAAATAAAAGTCTGGTTTTATCCAGACACCGCATAATACAGCTTGGGACACCGGTCTCCATTGCCAGATGAAGACTGACAGGTTTAATTTTTTTGAAAACGTATCACATATATTGAGTTAGTTTCTCGACCCTAAAGTAAAGGATTTTAAGGGATTTAACACAAAATTAAGCAGTTTTATTCTCCAAAATATTTATCGGGATTGGCCCTTTAATGCTTCCAAACATTTTATGTTCACAATCTGGCTTTGATTTTCATCTAATTTATGGAAATACTGTTTTCTCAGAAATATTTTATCCCCGAGGCTTGATTTGTTATGAGTAGTATCCCAGTAAAGATGTGAATAATAGTTATATAAATATCCTTTGATATTATCTATTTGAATTTTCTTTAATGTAGAGTGTCGTCTGTATAGGTAAAATGTGCTTAGAAATCGATTTTTGTTGCACCCCACCTGGGTCTAAAAAAATGTTGCCATTTTCTTATAATACAAGGTTTCTAGTGATGGAAAATCCATATTCCCACCTTCAGATATTGCCAGTTTTTAAAATATTACCCATTTACCCTGGGCGTCGGTCAATTTATCATGCTTGTCTAACATTACTTTGACGTCGTGATTTTGGATGATGCAGGTGAATGATTTTTTTCGTGTGTACTGCCAAAATGCATAGCAACAATTGAAAAAAAAATTATGGAAATATCTCAATTTGTATTTGCACAGGATCAATAATAAGCGCCCACAAAGCAGTCATGTTGCACATCGTAGCATGGTTTTGTCTATTTATGAAAATACAGCGTCATTGTATTGATATTGAATTTAATTTATTATCAGAAATCATACATAAATTTGATAATTGCATAGACATATTTGATTTCAACCAAAAAAACAATGCATAAACATGATATTTCAAATATATAATGATGTTGATATTTTATTTTGTTTCTCTAAACTTAAGGATAATTTTGTATTTCACAGATTTTCTACTGTTTTATGTATTTCAGGAATGTGTTTTCATAAAAGATGATATTTGAAAATGGTGTGATAGTCATGTGTGCAGAATTTCTTGGAAGATATTTGTCAATAAATATTTGAGCTGAGGAAGATCATTGAACACAAAAATGAAAAAAAGTACACTGTTATATTTATACGCCGTAATTCGCCTTGGTAATTTAGAGGGGGTTTATTGTCCATTGGAACACACTTTTCGACCAATCAGAATCGAAAAAATTTCGAAATATTATATGTTAACTCCCCTTTATATGTATCTTCTCTTGATCCCACTATCAACACTCCGTCTAAGCTTGTAGAAACATTTTATGGTGTTCTATTTCGGGCACTTCCCTTGAAAAAAGTGACGCGCGACGCAAAATTCGAGTCGTGCGTCGCCTTTATCATTGTTAAGCTATAGAGAAAAAAAGCGACTCAATACAAACCTTATGATCTAAAGCTCAAACGTTAGACCATTCAGCCACCCAAGCCTTAGCAGACGGATGAATCTAGTGGACCCAATGAAATATCTTGATGTTGGGCAGGCAGCCCTAGTATCCTACTCATTGTCGAAACCACGTGATATAATAAAATTAGCCGTATGATCTAAAGCGAAAACGTTAGACCACTCGACCATGCCCAAACTTCTACAGAAATGTCAGTCCCCTATAATCCCCAAATTTAATACTAAATATCTCATTATAGCCGTCATGCTTACATTTGTCTATTTTCCCCTTTTTTTCAAAACGCCTCTTTGACAGTACAAATAATAAGACGTATTTTCTTAAATATCAAAGGAATTTTATCAGTGAATCATCATAATGTGGATGAAAGTAAAATTAATATTTGTTAATTTAATTCGACATTAAAATATAATTCACACTCAATGTATAGTGTAAGCACTTACGAAAGGTTTTTAAAAAATCTTATTAGATACGACTATTTAAAGGGACAATAACACTCTTGCTGGCTTGAAAGCTCCAGAAAATAAATAATATCTCTATCTAAGTACTAGATGTTTAAGTGTCCTACATGTTGTGTAAATTATCCATTACATCCTATTTTACTTGTCCAGAGAGAGGGTTAGAAAATATTTTTAAATCGAAGTTTCATTCGAAAAGGTTTACGTTAGACGTTTCAAACCATTATGTTGAATATTTCAAAATTTTTAAATAAGGTGTGTTAAGATGAAATTTGTATCATCAATTAATTGAAATATTCTAAAATAATACAATTTCACTTGTTGACCAGAATAAAGATTGGGACATATTATTCAGTTACAACAAGAGTGGTATTGAGCCTTTAATAGACCTTTTAGAGGCCTGTATAAGAAACGATGTATATACGGGTTAGTTATTTTGCACGTGGACAAATTATGTTTTATAACGAAAGATTAGTTTACTTCATTGACGCTTTTCGTGTTTATTGAGGGGCGTCTTTAATTGCACTTAATCTGAACAAACTGCTTCTTGGTTTTCATGTACCAATTTCTATTAATAAAAAAGTTTAATTAACTGTTGGATTAAATACCCGTGTTATAACCCTTCACCCGTGTGAATCGTGTCAGTGGTCATTCGAAATGGATTTAAAATCTTTTGTTACGCACGGCGCTCGAAACTATGGTGGCTGATTGGTATCATGTCGTGGTGTCGCCCTTCATAAGGCGACAACCTGACATCACATTTCAAACTGACAATACAACATTTTCACCCGACAACACGACATTAAAAATGTAATGTCGCGTAAAAAATGTCGTATTGTCGGCTTAAAATGTCGGGTTTTCGTGGTGTCGTGATGTCGGGTTATCGGCCATTTTCCTTTCAATACTGTGATTATGTACACTGATCCTGTTGTTGGTCAAGAAAGTTCCCCGGGATTTTGCAGCGCGATTTCTCCATGTCGGTTGCAGGACAAAGGGCCTGGCAAAGAACAGTGTCTAGTATTGCAGATGTGACCCAAAAAAAACCCCTAAAACAACCAAGCTACTGTGTACACATTGGCGTGTACATACAAGAATCCTTCTCAGTTGAAATTCGATGAAGAAATGCCACAGTCTATTGAAAATTTCCAGAGAAGTAGGAAAATGAAATGAAATGAAATGGGTTTAACGTCAAACTGTTCTGCTTCGGGAGCCACAGTGGCTAAGTGAGTAAGACCCTGACTCGCTAGCCTGGAGGTCGTGGGTTCGCTCCCGGTGTTGGCTGAGAAAGTTCATCGAGATTCTCCGGCGTGGTGCAGGGAGGAGGGCCTATCAAGGAGGTCCCTTGTATACATTGGTATGCACGTAAAAGATCCCTTGGCTGTTGGGATTCGATTTAAGAATAGGCCGTAGCGCCACTGTTCCGGCGAAATGTCCCTCATAACACACTGTATGGCGTAAACCCTTCTTCATTAGCCCAGTCGGAGCAAAACAGTAGCCTAGGTGTTAAACTCCATTTCATTTCATTTCGTTCTTTTGAAGACGGACATACGGTATACAGTGTACTATGAGGGAAACTTTGCCCGGATAGCGGCGCTACGGCCTACTCTTATATTGAATTCCAACTGTCAGGGGGTCTTTTACGGGCACACCAATATGTAAATGGGACCTCGTTTTTCGTCCCATCCGAACGACCATACGTTATCCCTTGTCAGAACCTCCATCATGCACGACTGCCAAGGAGGAATCACTCCGGAAATGGGGTTTAATGTCCCACTTTTCTGGTAGTCACGCTGACTCAGTGAGTCAGACGTTGGCTCGCTAACGTTGCGGTCTCGAGTTTGATCACTGTGTTGGCCGAGAAAGCACATCGGGAATTTTCCGTCGTGATTCCTCTTTACAGTGGTACGGGACGGAAGGCCTGGCAGGGGATAACGTATTGTCTTTTGGGTGGGACAAAAAAATCGAGGGTTTCGTGTACATATTAGTGAGCACGTAAGACTCCCTGACAGTTGAAGGCTTGAAAAATAATAATAATCTCAACAGAAACAATAATAATCTTAACAGAAACAAAAAGCTTTCATATGTAATAAGCTTTCATGTAATAATAATAACCTTAACAAAAACAACAAGCTTTCATAGTTCAGGGTCTTACTCACTTAGCCACTGTGGCACTGCAAAATCCCCGGGAACTTTCTTGACCAACACCAGGATCAGTGTACATAATCATAGTATTGAGAGGAAAGTGGCCGATAACCCAACATTACGACACCACGACATTTTAACCCGACAATACGACATTTTACGGGACATTGCGACATTTGTAATGTTGCGGTGTCGAGTGAAAATGTCGTATTGTCGGGTTAAAATGTCGTGGTGTCGGGTTAAAATGTCGTCTTATGAAGGGGGACACCACGACATCACGACATGATACCAATCAGTCACCATACGAAACCATTATGTCCACGGAGTCGAGTACTGATTTTAAGATATTCATTGTGTATTGGATATTTACAGTAAGATAACATCAATATTGTTTGAAATGGAAATAAATATCGAATTCTAATTCGTGTTTTTAATTTAGAAGATTATGGACAATACTGAGTTAAAAGCTTAGTGTAGCACCACGGGCCTTTCTGTCTGACGTGGAGAGCGGGAATGCCAGACCAGTCGCCACATCCTACGTACGACCCATGCATCTTTTCTTACTGCATATTTCT